GCACCCACACGGCAGCTAACAACTGTCTGTAACTCCAGTTCCAGGGGATCTGACAGCCTCTTCTGTCTTCCACGGGCATTGCATGACACAATGCACTTACACGCGGGCAATGCACGCATACACATAAAATAAAAATAATAAATAAAAAATATTTTTTAAAAATTTAAAATTCTGTTCATTATTTCTTTAGGATATATCACGTAAAAGAAACTATTCCATTCTTTGTAATTATAGCTATAGGAAATTATTTTTTCATTGCTTTCCTTACATGGAAGGTTCTAGGAATCAACAATATGTCCAGCATGTGCCCATGTCCTGCTCCATCCCTCCACAGCCACTGTATATTTCAGAGATGTGACCATTTAGGAATTATTAAAGACTACCGTGAAAGTTCCCCTTATTTTGTAGTTCTTTGATCAAAACGAAGGAATAATATACTACGGGCTTTTTACAACTGATGTTTTCTATATTTGCTATATTGGTATCAATGAGTGACTTCATATAATGAATACTCTTCTTTTTGTTTAATATCAAATCTTTTTTTTTTTATGGTTCTGGAAAACCAGCACCAAATTCAGGCACTTGCTCCACCTCAGAGTCACAGCTCCATTCCCTAAAGTCAACTCTTTTGAAGGAAATTAAGTACTTTGTTTTTGCTTCTTTTTTATAAAAGAAATAAGATTTAAAATGATAAAACAAAAAGTGGAGAGTAAACAAATAAAATGGACAATTTGCAAAAAATTATTTTCTCCTATGAAATGAAGTAAGGAATTCAGTTTTCAAATTCTAATTTCTTAAACTGGATACTTCTTTTCTGGGTGTGAGTGTACTTCTGTTTCTTAGACCAAGGGCTCAAGGAGCAATGTTGTGAACAAGCCACAGGGCCGGAGGCGTGTCAGAAGCTACTCACAGGGTGAAGGGGATGTTCTCACTCTCAGCCACAGTGCCATACAGAGAGATCTCGAAGGCCTGGTTGAACTGTGTGCCACTTTCAGTCCCAGAAAAGTGAATCTTTACTTGGTAATGGAAGACTGTAAGGGAGGAAATTGGAACAAAGGCCAGTTAGTCTTTATGGAAACACCATAGCCCCCAAACAATCAAGCAATTCAGACCTATAAAGCATGCCTTAGTGGCAATCAAACAGGAAGTGGACACATACATCTTGCACCATCCAAGTGGCTTGGAAACATTTCACACTGGACACTGTTCACACCTTGAGGGTGCAGACATTAAATACTTTTCAGAAAAGTGTGACTGCAGCGGGTGGGAAAAAGCTAAGTGTGACTGAACAGTCCTGGAAGGCAGCTACCTTTGATGGACTACCAGAGAGATCTAAGCGATAGCCAAGCACACCCAGGAGCCTCTCTGTGACCTCTCTTTGCCTTGGCCACCCTGTTGTTCTGCACCAAGCATATTTGGCATTTGCTACGTGTCACTGTGTACAGGGGTGTTTCTTCCCATTTTCTGGGTGCATGTGCCCTCTCTGTCCTCAAGGTAAGCTGCTTCAGGTCACAGGAGGACACCCACACTTCCTCTTCCATGATCATTTGGACAGGGAGGTATGTGGCAAACTCTCAACACTGCCAATTTCAGTGAACCTCCAGAGAGGCCCTTACAAATCCAGTTCCCAAAGTGTTCTGATTTAGGAAGGGCCTCTGGAAGCAGGAACTTGAACTCACATATCTCGCCCTGAATTTCTACCAGAACCCTGAGCAAACGCGACAAGAGTAAAAAGCTTAGGCCTGAAGCACAGCTACTCTGAGGAGGGAGAATTATTCTTATGCTTATCTTCTGCATCCCAAGATCCTTATTCATATTTTTTATTACTTATACTATCATCTATTAAATACAATTTATTTTAAGCTGGGATCCAAAATGTGGTAAAAATGTATTTTAATGCTACTTTGGATATTTATTCCTGTGAAAAAAAATTCAATATATTTTGTTTTGGCTTCTTGTGACAACCTCTGTTTTGTTTACCTACCTATTTGTTTTGAGTTTGGTGGGCTTTTTAGGGGGAGGTGCTTTTCAGATGGTCTCATGTAGCTCGAACTGGCCTCAAACTCACTATATAACCTCACTATGTTCTTCCTGTCTCTACCTCCAAAGCATTGGGGTTACAGGCACATATCACCAAGTTTGGCTTATAGCGCTTTTAGCTTTTTTAATTAGAATAAGCTCCAGATAAGTAAAACCAAAAACAAACCAAAACCAAAACCAAACAAAACAATAAAACCTGTGACTACTAAAAGGTGAAGAGAAATCAACTGTAGCCCTTGTAGGAGAGGCTGAGGGTAGGAATCGCTCATGTGTCACCATGGAGTCAAAACCCAGTATAGACCTATGCAACATGTATGAGTGAGCCTGCCCCTGTCTTCAGGTGACGGTCTCCTCCATACCTCCCACTGGTTCTGGAGTCAGAGAAAATGAGCTTCTTCATAGCCTATAAGATTTCCTTGAATGGCATGCTCCAAGCTCTAGGCCCCCAGATGCACTTCTACACAAAGCACCTTGGAAACCACTGGCCATTGCAGATATATTTTACCTGGGAAACTACTCATTAGCTTCTGCTCTTGCTTCAGGTTTATATCTGGACTCTACCAAAGCCAATCTATCTGAAATCCCTCCCTGTCACTAGATATACCTGACAACCTCTTCTCCCATTGTTCCCCCTGCATTATTTTAGGTCTTGTTCGAAGCAAGAGGCCAAGCTTGAAGTTCGAGTTTGAAATGAGTTCATGGCAAGATAGAAGAAACATGGTTTACACAGTCTTGCTTCCCTGTGATAGCTGAATTTTGGTGCTTCTTAACTTCCAAACTTTGGAAGCGGCAAATGTTCTGTAAAGCTCCAGGGACCGTAGTATTTTCGCCTCTGGGGGCTATATGGTCTGTTTTAACTACTGGATCCTATCTTGGTGGCATGAAAGCAGTGCTGGGCAGTATGGAAATGAACGTGTATCACCACGTTCTAATAAAACTTGATTTATAAAGGCAAGTAGCAGGCTGGATTAGGCCAAGGAGCCAGAGTCTATAATCTCAGGGTGATGATTTCAAATTAAATCTAAGCCCAGTACTGACAGCTGGTCTACGTTAATGGCCAGAGTTGCAGAGAAGCCTGGCAAATGGGGCTGCAAATGGGCAGTCAGACTCAGAACCATGGGCAAAATGGACTCACACAGTCCTTCTGTATCAACAAAGGCGCATGTGAAGGCTCAGGACTCAGGAACATCCCTTCATCAACTCTGTTCCAATGGACAGAATCAGCCCATGTTATACAGTGAATACAATAATCGGCACTTTTTCTCCTTACCATAGCCTCCAGCCTACCTTTATAGGGCATCTGAGAGCGAGTCTTCAGGTACATCCTGCTGCTTCTTTTGGCTCTGACCTTATTGATCTCATAGCCCATGTTGTTACAACGGTTCTTTCTGCAGCTCAGGCAGAGCCCTTTCTCAAAGGCTTCCTTGGAATTGCACCTGTAAGCCTTGCTTGGGTTTTCTTCATTCAGCAGGGAGTCAATGAAGAGATGAATGGAGCGCTCGTGAGAGCACTTCACCAGCTGGTCCACATCTGGGGAAAGAGACACAGCACCTGTGAGTTCTGCAGCATCACCTTGAATGGCTAAACTAGGGTAGGTGTAGTTATAAGCCCCACTTTAGGATGTGACCTTGGTGGCAGCTGCTCACCTCCCTCAAGACTGTCAAACTTGTAAGCTGTCAGAGAACTTTTCACTCTTCTGCCAGTTTATATTTATATATAAAGCCATAATAAAAGGTAGAAGTTGATTCTCATCAGCTTAATACAACCTTTCCTTTTATTGAAAATGTCTAATACTTCCAGGTGCTTCTAGAAACATAGTTCTAAAAACTACATCATAAAGGGTATATTTGTTAAGCTAATAGTATTTTGAAATATATATTGTGGGGGCTGGAGAGATGGCTCAGCGGTTAAGAGCACTGACTGCTCTTGTAGAGGCCCTGGGTTCGATTCCCAGCACCCACATGGTGGTCACATACATGCAGACAATACATTCATACACATAAAATAAAAAATAATAAATAAAATATTTTTAAAAAGAAATATATATTGTGACTGGTGCAGAGCTGTATCCCTACTAACGCTTTTTATGTCAGTTGAATCAAGAATAGTCAACAACACCATAAGAATTTATTTATTCCTACAAGCTCATAACACTTGAAAGTGGTAACACTATTCAGTAATTTCTACAATGGACCTACAAAACCCTACCCCAATGTCCATAAAATATGCAAAGGGCCGGGTGTGGTGGCGCACACCTTTAATCCCAGCACTCAGGAGGCAGAGGCAGGCAGATCTCTGTGAGTTCAAGGCCAGCCTGGTCTACATAGTGAGTTCCAGGACAGCTGGGGCTACAGAGAGACCCTGTCTCAAAAAGACCAAAATATATATTCTAATTACTGCATCCTGCACTTTCAGCAAAATTCAATCTCATTTCATTGGCTTTGTAACTACATTCAGATTATGACACCTAGAGCTGGATAATCTTTTATTGTGGTGTTGAGCAGGCCAGCAGAGCTTTCCTGTCTAAATCTCCCCTCTGATTCCTCGTGCTTCTGTTAGAGCAGTGTTCAGTGTAGCTAACAATATAGGACAAGAGAGGGCTGACTGGCCCTAAAGCGATCATGCTGAACAGGCGAAATTCTTTTGAAATGAATGTGTGTGTTTATGATCTCTCTCTCTCTCTCTCTCTCTCTCTCTCTCTCTCTCTCTCGTGTGTGTGTGTGTCTCGTGTTCATGTATGTAAGTACAGGTGCATTCATGCCATGGTACTTATATGGAAGTCAGAAGACAATCTTGGGCATCAGCCCCCGCCTCCCACCTTGTCTGAGACAAGTCTCTTGTTTGGCACTGTGTCCACCGACCTAGTCGGCCTGTTAGCCGCTGTCTCTGCCTCCCATCTCATTGTAGAAGAACACTGGCATTACAGACACACACCAGTGCGTTTGGTTTTTATGTGGGTTCTGGTAATTCAAACTCAGGTCCTCATATACATATGATAAACATTTTAACTACTGAGCCATCTCCTCAGTCCACAGATGTGCACATTAAATCACACACTGTGAGAGCAGTGAGTAAGGCCTAAAGCTCAAAACTCAACTTGAGTGTCGTGTGACTCACTCACCTCCAAGGCCCCTCTCTGCAATCACACGGATGGCTTCACCAATGTTACATCCTGGCTGGAAAGTGCCTCCATTGGGATAAATGTCAACATGTCCCACTGGCTTCTGGATTCCAATACTTCGGTCAGGTGACCCTCTGGTGAATGTGTGTAAGACATCTACGAAATCTGCATCATCAGGAGAAAGGCGACTGGGGGCTTCTGCGTACTCAAAGTTAGGCCCAGCAGGATCCAGTCCTTGGAGGGAAAGAAAAAGATCCATGGATTTTAAAATCTGATTAACTTCAGTCCGTTAGTATTGTGTTGGTCTTGTGCTCATTTGATCACAATTGGCAGACTCTTAGATTCTTAAATTCTCACAAGCTCTTCATCGAGGAATTGGATCTGTCAACAATTAAGAGTCATAAAAGTAGGCATGACTCTTCTAAAATGGAATTTCTCCCTCCCACTCCCTCTCCCTCATTCTCTCCCACTCTCCCAGGATAGCCTCAAACTCCTGACCATCCTCCTCTATCTCCCTAGTCTTAGGATTATAGCCAAAGCATTTATAACCACTGCCTAGATGAGGCTCAGGACCCTTGTCAGTCTCCCTGGCACTGATGTGAGAGGGAACAATATATGTGCAGTCCACCAGCTCAGTCAGGGTAAAGGGATGAGAGAAGCCTTTCTCAGAGGAATGTGTGGGCATCTGTGCTCAACACTGTTCTACTACTGTGTCATGGCCAGTGGAAGGAGCCCAGGCAGCAGCATGTACTCTGACTCACTTCTGAAGAACTCGGTCATAAGATGATCAGCCTTAGGCCCAGGCCCCCAGCACTGTACAAGTGGGACCAATCGAAGGAGTTATGATGCTCTTTCAGAATGATTCATTTTGACCTGTGATAAATAAATAATACATGCATCTTACCAGTAATTCTGTTGACCTTCTTGTTGGTCAGACTTCCGGCCACTCCGGCAGCATGGGCTCCCAGGCTGTATCCCAAGAGATGCACATTGTCCAAAGGGTAGTTAAATTCGTCCTGGGGAAGAACAAAAGAAAAACAATTTTTGCATATATTTTGGTCAAAGATCAAAACTAAAAGTAATAAAATTAATATCTATATATCGTTTTTTAAAATATGGGCACTACTCTGAATTAATTTCACTTATTTCCTGTTGCAGGTAAATGAGACAAACATGTTTTATAATGTTAAGATTTTCACTTTAGCCACAGGTTTAAATTGGGAATTTTTCCATATATCTGAAATTATATAATTTACACATATAAATATGTACATACATACTGTTTGTACATATATGCATGTATGAACTTTAGCACATCATTCCTTTGTCCAAATACCCTGCATCTCATTATTCTTTTCAAAAATTAAAAAAATTTTTTTTTTTAATGGGGATGAGTGTTTTGCCTGCATGTGTGTAAGCGTACCATATGCCTGCAATGTCCATGGAGGGCAGAAGAGAGGGTCAGATCCCCTGGAACTGGAGTTGTGGACAGTTGTTAATCAATACGTGGATACTGGGAACTGAACCCAGGTACTCTGCAAGATCAGCCAGTACTCTTAACCGCTGAGCCATTTCTCCAGCCCTTCATTATTTTTCAAGGTTAGCTAAGCAACAACAAGATAGGGGGAAAGAACCATACACAGATGGTCCCGCCTTCTCCTTCAACAGGCAGGAAGCCTGAGGACCAGGGGAATGATCTGATTCTCCCAGGTTCACTAGACTTAGTAACAAAGGAGCCAAGAAAAGAACTTTTATCTCTATTTACCTGATTTAAATAATTTGGCCCTGTCAGAGTAAATTACCTTCTTTTCAACTCCAAGGAAAATTCAAAGATATTTCCCTGAGGTTATGTATCCCCCAGCACTCCCAAAAGAGAGGACCATGCAGTCTTCACATCCTACACACCTTCCTGTCCACTGTCCCCTGTCACAGTTCATCCCTCCCCCAAACCAGGAGGCTGACCGTGTGTGTCTCAACAATTTCCTGGATTCTTCTTCCATTCTAAGAGTTAAATATTGTTCATGATTTTGTTAAAGAGGTTGATAGCCTAACAAAAGTCAAAGTCAGGATGAAATGTTCACATGCCAGCCAACCGGTAGGAAAAGAGTTAGCTGAACATGCCATCGTCCCTTCATCCTAAAATAACAGACTTTTGTTTGGTCTGCCCACTTAGATTTTGGTCTCAACAGATCTGTTCACTGAAAATACCAAAGGACAGGGCAGGCCTATTTCTTGGCTATAAAGCTTAGTCATTCCTATCATAACATTGCATCAGGGTAAAAATGCCCTTCTGGAGATTTCAATCATCCACCTGTCTATCTCTAGCCAAAAGCTCTGTCCTAAGCATAGAACACTCCTTCTCCACGTCTCACCTCCATCCAGTTGATGAACCTGGCCACGTCATTTCCCACGAGCTTGGTGTAGCCAGCAGACACTGGATAATGCTGCTGGGCCCGGTAGAGCCAGTCTACCACGATAACATTGGAGTCGGGCTCTCTCTTGTATAGAGCAGCCACAAGTTTGGGCACCCAACTTTCATACATTCCTGTTACCTGAAAAGAAAGATACGAGCTTTATTAAAAGAGCCAACTACAATTAGGTGTATCTATGACAACCCAACACAACTACATGAAATAAAAACCATGAATCTACAAGGAAGCTCATTGGCTCAGACTGAAAACTCAAACCTCAAGGGATATTCGATTCATGCCTGCTCCTTCCTCCTTTCAAGGCAAATCTGAATATGCCCAAGGGATGAACTGAGCCCAGGAATAGGAGACTGGGGATTATCTTGCTTTCAATTTTAAAATTTAAGTGATCTATACCATTAAAAAGAAAGATCTGGGTCAGAGAATTAAAAGTTCGTAACAGAATTACACATGTTTAGAAAAGAATTACACATGTTAATTTAATTCTTTTCAATTAAGCTACCAAATGCTTTCCAACAGAATTGATTAGAGGTCAGACCCGATGAAGCAGACCTGTAATTCCAGAGACTCTAAAGACGAAGGCAGGAGATAAGTTCAAGGCTTGACTGGGTTAGAGGATGTTCAAGGTCAGCCTTCGGGGTACTTAGTCAAGACTCTGTCTCTCAAAAACAAAAGTAGAAAGGGGGCTGGGGTTATTGTACAATGATGGGGTGTTTGTTTCACATGTGAAAAGTCCTAGGCACAACACCCAAAACTGAAAAAAAAAACAAAAAACTATTGTTTTAGGGGATATAAAATCATTTCTTATAAAGAATGGTTTGTATTTGCACACACTAATTTGCTGGTGATGAAGATCTGGTCACATCGCAGTCACAGTAAAGGCTATGCATTGAATAATCATGTATTGAACAAAGACAACTATAAAGTTCATGTTTAAGGCAGCTTTTAATGAAGACCGGCAAAGATCAGATTATACTAAACATAACACCAGAAAAGTAGGAACCTTGGACACACCAAGGAACTTTGCAACTTTGGTCTTTTGTAGTGTGTTCTTTTAGACTTCTGTTTTTCTTGTTTATGTGTTTGCTAGACTAAAATTACCAAACATGAGTCTAGCTTCACTCCTGTCAAAGGTTTGCAATGATTTGCTGTTGTGCCCAGTGCTAGGAAAAGGCCAACCCAAGAGCTGTGGGTTCCAGTTCTACTTGTTCCATTAACGATTTCTGTAAACTAACTTTAGCATCCCAGGACACTCACAACACAAAAAGGCTGGACTCAGAGTGTCTCAAAGTTCCCCTCATGAATTTCTGTTTGTGCCCACTCTGGTTCCCAATCTCCTTGTGGTGACAGAGTCAAGTTCCACAGTTATTTTAAGCAGAGAGAGAGAAAACGAAGAAAAACACAAAGGTGATGTTGGCCCACTAGGCACACATCTGAGCCTCCTTTGCACTGTGACTCAATGGGTTGCCTCCTCAAGTCCAAGTGCAGAGTGAGTCCCCGAGGGAACCAACTAGACACATGCAAAGGTCAAAACCCTGGGGAATTGGTCCCATTCACTTTCCATCACCTCCTTCCTGGCTATAGCACTGGTCACCTTTTATAGCTGCCATTCAGTGTCAAGAGAAGATTTCTTTTCTTTAGAACGCTTTGTTAGTTGCACTGAGTGCCCACTTCCCCATGCGACCCAGTGCATAAAGAAAATTCCAAGTGCAAAGCTCTAGTCCTATGGGGGAGGGGCTCTCCTGGTGTGACAGAAGAGGGTCCTTACTTCCCCTTAGTCTGTGCCCTTGAATGGCCTGAAGGCTTATCTCAGATGAGGTGTTTGCTCTAGATTACTATTCTACATTTCTTTATACCACTGTTTCCAAGTTAGTCTGTGAAAGGGCAAGTAATCTGACTTTCCTACAGTGTGGGATATTTTTATTAGTTCAGTGACAACTAATCTAATCCTTTCTTTTTTGATTCAACAGAAAATGCAGATAAAAGTAACCTCAAACAAAGGAGATGAGAAATCTGAGCACTTTCCCCAACTCAGAAAAGGCCTTGCTCTCTAGTTTCCTCTTCTGAGTTTCCTCTGATCCATACCCCCTTTACACACCTCTGAACCGGAGCTTTCCGTGCCCCCTGTACCAGGTGCTTTGACTGAACCCAGCACTGAATTTGCTGAGCAGCTGAGCTCTGCTGTCTTCATCAAGGTTACAGATCAGCCTGGCCTGTGTGATAGGAGAACCCTGCCCATCTGGCCTGCAATGTAACCCGAGTCCAGCTCTGAAAAACGTCAGGGCACAATGTGATGAGCATACGTAGGTTCAGTAAGGCCCTAGGACCAGTGACAGCATCAGGCAGTGTCTCTGGACACTGGGTCAGTCATGTCATCTTAGTAAGAAAAGGAAACTTTTTTTTCATGAATTCCTAAAACACAAAATTATTTCAGAGGCAAGATTGAGATACTTGAGATGACATTGGGTTGATTCACACATACATGTGTGTATGGTGTGTGTGTGTGTGTGTGTGTGTGTGTGTGTGTGTGTGTACCCATTGACATGTGAAGCAACCTCAGGTGTTGTTTCTCAGGAGCTATGCACCTTGGTTTTTGAGACAGATCTCTCGCTGCTCTGGAATTCACCAAGTAGTCTAGGCTGGCTAACTAGTGAACCCCAGGGATCTCCTGTTTCTGCCTCCCCAGTGCTGGGATTCTAAGAGTTCATCTCCTTACTTAGCCTTTTATCCTTTTTTCTTTTAATGTGGGCTCTAGGGATGGAACATAGGTCCTTGGGCTGGTAAGGCAAACACTTTATGGACTGAACTATCTCCCTAGCATCTTTTCTAGCTATCTTTCCCCGACTTGCCCTCTTTTGTGTCTAAATAAACACCTCAAGTTTACAATTGGGTAAAACTGGAAGTGGAGGGGCCTTAGGGAAGTCTAGTCAAAGCTCTTTGTTTGCAGGTCAGTAAGCTGAGGCCTAGAGATAGTAAGTTGTTTGACTCTGTTCTAGTGCAAGACAATGGCCGGGTGGCACTTTAATAGCTCTTTAGTTCTAGCCTTCTCTCAGTCAGAAGTGACCTTCAGGACAGGGTCTTTCTGGATGTGTTCTTCCTGGATGTGTCAAGATCATGACAGGATTCCACCAGCTCCCTACAGCAGTAACACACTCCTCTCTAGAGCTGACTGGAGCTTCCTTTTCCCATCTTCTAAGGTGCTGGAGTCAAAGGCAGCCAGGTATTATGTTGAAATGATGATAGGCAGCATCTAGGGATTCATGCACCTGGGACTATATAGCTTCTATCTCGAACCAAGGTTGCTTTTATGCAAGTTTAAAGCAAAGTTGTCAGGGAGCAGTATGTTGTTGGGTTCCTAACAACAAGGATCTGGTTGACCTCAACCCACTCTTTCCTCCAGAGCCATTCTTACCGTCCAGCCATGGATCACCACGAAGGTTTTGCTGCTGTGGTTGAAATGGCAGTTAGCCACAGATTCTGCTACCCCAGGAATGAGGTGGCAAGTGTCCTCCACTGTGTCTTCAGGAGTTCTTAGGGCAAATTTGCTTTCAATATCTGCAAAATCTCCTCCTCCTATAGGAAAAGAAATTGGAGCAAAGGTTAATGGGGTATTATTTAGTTTTACCTGTGGGAACAATATGGTTTAGGTTCACAGGCAATGACTGCCAACACTCTTGGTTTTTCTAAAGTGGTTTTTCGAATATGAATATAGAGATGACTCAGCAGTTAAAGTGCTTACTGCACAAGAAATTAGACCAGATTTCCGATCCCCAGAACCCACATAAGGCCAGGGGGGAGTGGTGACCTGCCTGTATTTTGAGCCTCAGAAGACAGACAGGGCATCCCTGGAGTGAGCTGACTAGCGAGACTAGTCATATTGGAGAGCTCCGGGTTTGACTGCAAGACCCTGCCTCAAAAACCGAGGTAGAACCAAGGCTGGAGAGAGAGCTCAGTGGTTAAGACACTGGCTGCTCTTGCAGAGGCTCCAGGTTTCATTCCCAGCACCCACATAGTGGTTAATGACCAGGCATAACTGCATTTCCAGGAAATCTGATGCCCTCTTCTGGTCTCTGTGGACGTTGCATGCTCAGTGTCACACACATGCAGGCAAAGACTCACACACATAAAAAAAAAATAATAATAACAATTTAAAAAATCCAGAAACTAAGGTGGGAAAGCAGTCAACTTCAGGCCTCTACACTCAAGCATACATGGTTTATAAGTACTCCCACATACATCCAAACATGCAAACACATACTCACACACCACACATCACACACACACATGCACATAAAAGGGGAAAAAGTGTCGATTTCAGAATAATGACTGAGGCTGCAGTAGTGACCAACTGGACAGTAGTGACCAACTAGCCTCCCTGTCAGGTAGGGTGTATGTATGCGTACATCTAATCCCACATATTTGGCTATCTCTGAGTTAATTCAGTCTTTCTCAAGACATGACTTTAGACTTGGCCAAGGTGGGAAAGACTGAGGACTAGCACCCAGGTCTCCTAGCTCAAGTTCAAAGCTCATTCTCCCAGAGAATTTTGTTGCATAGATCTTGTATTCTATGGCTCTTATTACATCGTGTATTCTTCTACCTTCTTTAAATCTCTAATTAATTATAAAAAAGTTTTCCCATAATTATATAATTAGGCTTGTTTGAGGAAAGAGGGTTTTTTTTTTCATTATCAACACTTTAAAAGAAGAAAAGTTGGAGCATAAGTAAGATTTTGTCAGTCCCACAGCAAGATGTGCTATCGCAACATGTTTTAAGAGAGCATTACTGGACTGTTCAGAAAGGCTGTGCTATCTATGAGCCATGGTCAATGCTTTCCCTGGATAGCTCTTTTCTTCCTTATGTTCTCCAAATCTTCCACAGAAAGTCAGAGCTTTAAAACAAGGTAAATCTAGTTGTAGAGAGAGTTTGTTTTAGTTCCTCAAAGTAAGTCCCAACCTAAATTAAAAAAAAAGACAGAGAACCTAGCTTTAGAAACTATTGACATATATCTAAAAGCTGACAATTCTTCATGATTATTTGCAGACAGTATAAATTAATATATGATCCATACAACCAGGCCCTTTCCATGAAGCAACACAGAGGACTTACATCAGAGAAAATCGTTTAATTCCTCATCAAATTAAAAACAAAGCCTACCTATTTGTTATAAAA